TGTGCAGGATAGTTTGATTCAGCAAAAAAAGCTTTCAATAATAACTTAAACTGACCACATTTCTGTACTAGTTAAAAATTACAGCCTTAGTCAGAGATCTGCATCTCATTTTTCTCTTAAGTGTCTGAAGTCATAGTTCGTATGAGTTTAGACCCAGTTCACTCAAATATGTAGGGCCATCTGGCTAAAAACTCTGATTATACCCTAACACTATCTATACGACTCAAAACCCAACATACCTACTTCTTGGATACAGGCAGTTTGAGAAAAGGACAGTTAAAAGATCTCAAATATTATGCAGAACTAACTGAGGTGTAAGATGTCTGATACCCTTAATTCTGGCAAAATTATACTGATTAAGGAAAAAAATTACAAGATCTTTTGTGCTGAGTTCTACAGAACCTGCAGACTTGGAGAAAGGGTTGCTAAGGTACCCCAAAGCTATCCACACTCCTCCTTGCTGCAAGTCTGCTTGGGGAAGCCCATCATCTTTCCAAGAAATGTCAACCTGCAAAATATGACACCCTCCTAGCACTGCATCCTAAGTTCCAGTGGGGACCAGAGTTTACATGAATGACATAATTCTGTCCCAGCTATGCCTCCATGTTTTCCAGCCTTGACCACTTGTGCCTGGAAAAGTGTTTTAATATGCTGTCTTCCAGTGTAAAAAAGTCAGAATTGGGTTTAAACTCCCACGCTCAAATGTCTCCTTCACTGTTTTCTATATGCCACAAATTATTAAATAAAGAATACAGCCTGGAAAGCTCAGCCTTAGAACACAGTACTCATTCTTCATTTTGCGAAACAGCTTCCAAGTCACCTCAAACAGCACTGAGAATAAAACCAAGTCACACGACACATACAGATTTCATGCATTTAACTACACTAATTTCCAGCCTGAATACCAGTCTACACACATAGGCACAGCTGAACACCTATTTTAGTCACTGACACCTATTTTATTCACTGCCTCCCTCATCCTCACCAAAATTAAGGCAAGACTCTCATGTTCCAAATCATCCATCTTTTACTCTTTCCTGTCATGTCAAGCCCACAGCTGCATATTTTCCTGGCAACTGTGAATCAACTCCCGCTTTGACAACTGATTCACAGACCAGAATGAGACATGCTTACAAGAATTATTCTCTTAACAACTTCAAACCAATCTGCTCTCCCCAGCTGCTCGTTCCCCAGCAACAACACCCCTCCAGAGGTTGTGGCACTGTCAGTTATATTAGTTAGTTACACTAACATGCCCCAGTCCAGACTCGAGGAAGTATCCAGGCTAAAAATATTACTTCTGGTTTAGCTTTTCCTGTTAAGCAAATAATTTAGTTGGGACAATGAGAAGAATAAGCAGAATAACGTTCCCGCTTACAGACACAAAATGACTAGCAATTCAGGCATACGTCAATGATGTTAAAGGCATCTATGTGCCTTGGTAAATTTGCGCTAAAGAATAAAAATAAACCTGTTAACGTGTCTGGGCACAGTTCAGCAGAACACGGACTTCAACTTCTGTAGATGCTTGGTACTGAGGAGTTCCCTGACCTGAAGAAGTGCCTAGAAGTTATTAAAACAGCTCACCTCTTCGTTGCTCTACTAAGGAAACAAAATTTCTTGGCCAAACCACAAACATAATGCCCAGAGTGAGTTATCCAGAGAGATTAACCTATGAGCACTTGATGACTGAGCAGGTACACAAACATCCTTGCCTTCACACAGATGACAGGAGAGCTTGTCAGGACCAGAAATTTAACACGGAAGATAATGTAGACTACTTCAAAAGGTGCTCTCCAGCTGACAGGTTACAACATCCCCATTAAATACACATGACAAATTGGTCCTGGCACAGTTAATTCCACCAGCTTTTGAATGATTGACCATTAAGGAAAACTTTTACAGACTTCTGTTTTTCAGAAGAACTGACATACTGGAGGACTTAAAATAGTCACATCTTCCCCCCACGCCACATTAAAGGAAGCAAACCACAAAACCTGTGAAGAAAATAATTACATGGTTGAACAGCTAAGTGTACCTTTGAACATATTTCACCTTTTCAAAGCCTTGATTGGAAGTGCTACTGGCAGTTGTGCTGTAAGCACATAAATGTGGTAAGGGATGACTAGAAATTACCCATTCTGCTTCTCCTGAAACTATTTCCATGTTAGCACGGATATAGATAGAACAAGTTAAACAGAGCAACTCCCACTAATGCAGCAGAAAGCATTTCTGACCGTGTGAATATTTTGACTAATCACATAAATACTTTCATAAGACATACATAAAACACTGGAGCATATTTATAGTTTTCACAGTTCTAAAAATGGCTACAGTGTTCTTGGAAAGAAGTATTAGTACACACATACAGATTAAGATACCTTTGCATTGTAAACACAGTATTGTTTTCAAATTTGCTGGAGAAATGCTAACGCGCTCCCCAACTTCTTAATTAGCGTGACCTTACAGAGTATATACTGAAAAGATGACAAAAGGAGGAGTTTAGGGAGAACCGTTTTTCTCTCAAAATCTACTAAAATGCACACAACAAATAAATGTTAAAATTGTTGGCAGCAATTTACAAAAACAGAAAATCCAACACTGCTCTGAGACCTTACCTAAAATTTTATTCTAAGAGTCCACTTTCACATAGTCTTGTGACAGTATTTGTGCCCATATAAGTGGAAAAGAGAAAAAAAATGCAACATCACTAAATTTATAATGCATATCTTCTTTTAAAACAGTAACTGCAGAGCATGGCCAAGTGTGCAAGACAAATTTCCTGTAGCTCAACTTGATTTTAAAATTGCAAGTTCATTTGTCTGCAAAAACTTGAGGAATGCTTAGGTAACAAATTTTTAATAGCTTATAAGAATTTCTCTTTCCATTTTTGGTTAGTTCAAAGTCTAGACTTTACAAAACTTAATCATAAGTTAACTTTTTAGATACACAAATTTATTTTCTTATCTTTGTACTTACACCATAAAAATGGTAGGATGTATACATGCAAGCTTTCCAATACGAATGCTGATAAACAGATGATGTCATTTAGTTTCCTTCATACTTCCAGGGTCATAATGAAAAATTACTCATGTTTACCTTCCAAATAGCCAACTGTTGTAACTATAATTTCCCCAAAGTTTTGCTAATTCTTTCCATTCAGCTCTTCCAGAAAAAAACATACAGAAATCACCCCAAATTAGTATCCCACCTTTGACAAAAGTTTCCAACAAAACTTACTTTCCTCGCAGCTAAAACAAGTTGAGAATGCTAACTAAAAATTCTTAACTGGTAGAAGTCACCACCTCACAGTGAGGCAATTTCTTATCCTACAGAAAGTGTGATAAAAGGGGCAGACACTACATATGAATCTGCGTGAATGCCAGAAGATCCCATTGCCAAGTTACAACCACAATCAGAGCAATAATTTGAGAGAGAAAAGGATATAACCCCCCCCCAAACATTTGTCAGTTTTGAAAGAAAACCCTGCAAGTTCATGATTTGCCTTCTTCCACTATACTGAGAAACAGGCAAGCAGTGACCACAAAATCTAACAATATATGTGAAAATTAATTGAAAAGTTACATTAATTCAAACTTAATAAATAATATTTTCAAAAATATAGGGCTCAATTATTAAGAACACCATCACTACCAGGAACTCACACGCTACATAGAATCACATTCATTATGATAGATGAAGGTACCTACCTACAAACCAGCTCTTTATCACTCATTAAAAATGAAAAGTGGTCAGAGCTTCAACTCATTCTTTTAATATTACCTTCTGAGGTAGGAAATGAAAACAAATTAATCCAGCATAGGCCTGGTATATACAGAAGCAACAGAAGAGCTTCCAAAGAAATGGTGTTTCTATAGCATCTGATTATTGCAGGATAATGCAGATAATTGATTGGGAAAATCTTGCTTTGTGAGCTTTATTTAACTTGAGAGACCCTTTTATAAACAAAAGGGGTTGGGGGTGTGGGGAGCCATCAGCTATCCTGCCAGAGTAGCCCCAGGAGAGTAAAGCAATCTTAGTTTTATTTACAACAAGGCCACAATTTTCTTTTTAATTACTTATTACTCAAATAGCTCTGAAAGGATCAATATTTCACAGGCAAGATCAAAAACAAACCAGATGAATATTAGAAAACATTATAATGCAATCTAAATGAGGCTTTGCACATTTCATTAGGTAAGAAATTTTTAGAGTATTTATTTCTCATAATCAAATATTTTCTATTTCATATAATGCAGTTTTAGTCTGTCTCATTACAAGCAGTGCATGCATTTTTTCAAATAAGTAATTTTTTCCTGAAATGCCAAGTCTTAAGTTGACTTTTTTTTTTCTTGAACCAAATTAATTTCTATTCCCCAAACAGGCTTCATACTTGTAATCAGATTCAAAGTTAAATAAGACTGGATATTCTGCTGTTCAATCTTATTTTACAAATAAATAACCTATATACTAGGAATCCTCCTACTTTCCACTTCAACAGCAATGCCTCACTGAACTGAACTCTTCTTTTGGATCACTCTTTGCACATTCTTCATTGCAGTAGACTACATTATTAATACAGAATAAAGCACTTACCCTTCTAGCCTGACATCAGGTAAAGATCTGTTGAGTGCAATCATTTCACTTGCCATTAAATTAAATTGATTTATTTTAAACATTTCTTTCATTTTTTCTTGCTCTTCTTTCGGAATGACCACAGGTTTCCCCATCTCTCCAGGTCCTTCATGTGGTTTTTGTATGGGTTCTGGAACTAAGAATAAATAAAATGTTGGTAACTACTTTTATACTTGATTTTGTTTGTTTATACTTTATTTTATACTATAGGAGTGTTCCTGTTTAAAACAGAGTTCTAAAACCACCAGGTTTTGGAAATGAAACAGATCTTCATATTTGGTAGCATAACAGAAGTAGTTAAGCGCTACTCTTAGACACCACAATTAATTTGAAAAAACAGTAAGGGTTTATATCTATCCATCATCACATCCTGATTGACTTTACTCTTAAAAGTTCTGAACAACACATTTATATCCCAGGTTGTTCTTGCACACACAAGTTTTTCAGGAAAAGTTAAATTTTGCTTTACAGGGACTTCAGTAAAGATTAAAGTAAAATTTATTTCCACATTTTTATTTTGACAGAATGACATTGGCATTTACAGTTTAGAAATAATTTCTCTTGGTTTTACTAGCATTATTTTCAATCAACATAATTACATTTTAGAGTTTAACATTAGTACTCGAAACAAAACAGTAACAGTTGACATGTTTAAACCAAAGATATGTTAAATATCAAATGTCTGATCAAACTGATGAGGGAGAAGGGGAGGAGAAAAAGAATCCCGACTCTTGAATTATTTGGTTTATTAAAAAAAGAAGTGAAAAACCAAAACATTCAAAAAACCCTGTTCATCTCCTTTACAAATACCCCTTTACTTTTCTCCTGAACTGAAATGTTTTAAATGCTCAAATACTGAATCTGAAATATATCAATATTTTATAAATTCAGTTAAAAAAATAATTTAAAAAGTAGTAATTTAAAATCTAAACACAGGAACAGGAAGTATTTTAAAATAAAGGCACCAAAGCCCTCAGTAATAAGCCTAGTTTCAAATTATCTTTAATCCGCATCTAGGACAGCACAGTGTAACTAAAGCTTATGCCAAGAGCAAGCAGCCAAGTAAAGAATAAAAATAAAATTTAGAAAAGCCAAAACACCCAAGCCTCCCAACCCTCCTGAAACACTATGACTTAAAATATATACTTACTAATAACTGAAACATTTTGCTAGTTTGAATATAGGATTAATCTACTACCAGTACAACATGTTCCTTGAGAAACTTTCATTTTTAAGTACCTGAAGCAACTGCACTCGCTGCATTAATGAAGTAACATTTAGCGGAGAAAATTCTCCCACCACAGAGATGTTTTCTTTTTACCAAACTCCCCTTGACTGCAAGTTGAACTATGTAATACTAGAAGTTGCCAGCCAGCCACTCATACACTAAAAATTGATAGAATAAGTATGTCGAAGCAGATCCTGAGCAGACCGATTTAAGTGCTTGTTTTTACCATGGGCTAAAATGAGCAGTTTGCTTTGCATTTTTGTCTCCTAAGAAAGTGTGGTTGAACCTGCATCAAAACTTGCTGGTTTGTAAATGCATACCCTTTTAAACTAGAATTTGTGCCTTTTAGGGGATAATCAACATAAAATTATGGTATACAATAAGACAATTATTTGGGCTAAACTTCAGATATTCGGCTTGGTTTTATTACGTGAGCTACCGTAACTACTTTTATTAACTGTATAGCAATTAGTATATATATTGGACAGAAAATTATTAAATTATGTGTGTTCAACACACCTAAATTGATGAAACAGAAGCTATCAGAATATAGTTATATGTTAAAAAAAAGTTATTCACCATGTTTTTCAGCACTCTCAAGAGTGAATGTCTTATCCTACCATATTTGCTATTTAGAAGAAAAAATAATTTCCCGTTTCATTTATACTTCCAGTTGTTTCTCAACATTGACTAAACCAGTTAAACTGAATAGCTAAATTAACCAAAACCTCATCTTTCACGTTTGCAGATATAGCTGTTAGATGCTGGTTTAGCACATCAGTGAGTTGGATCCAGGTGTATAAATTCCACAAATTCATCAGTCGAATTTTTAAATTTCATTAGCAAATATATACTACTTGATTAACATTTTATCTAAATAAAGTACTCCCTCCTCCAGCAGAAAAATCCAGCAACAGCTAACTAGATCCACAGATGTTCTACAGAACTCACTAAATGCAAAGACAGGCAAGCTTGGTGTGCAAGCACAGAGAGAACTTTCCAAGAAGAGTTAACCATCTTCTTTCGGGTTTCTGCATTTACAGTAATCCATTTTCCCACAAAAGTGTGTAGCTTTCATATAAACACAAACCAACAACATTCTCCCAAAATGACTAATAGGCATTGTTAAAAATTCAAACCACGGTGCTCTTTTGTCAGTTAACCATGAAAAGGTGTTTCCTTTGAAGGACTGTGGATATGTACTGATGATGTACTTCTAACAAACAGAAATTTAATTTACAGCTACAAGTTTGGAGCTAAATGAATGACTTAAGGACCAACAGGAAATCTGTTATTATTTTTCCCGACATTTCTCATTTGTATCAGTAAACCATCAGTTTCAAAGAGGGCTTGATCTCTTATGGATCTTCGTTAAAAGTCTCTGTCTGGACTACAAATTCCTTTTATTCATCAGGCATATTGCCTGGTAAACAGACACTTCAAAATCTAAGACCACTTTTTTAAAGCCAGATGGATTCTTCCCTGACACAACTTAAGGGGCCACAACAATGCCAAACTGACCGAAACACCAAGTTCAGTCACTTTGGAGGAACCATCACAATTACAAGAAAGCTGTTTGGAAAGGTAGTTGTTCAGAGAAGTTTTGTCTGTTACAGACAGCTCAGCCTTAACAGAACAAGACTGATTTATGATGAACAGTTCCTATTTTCAAAAATTAAGTCTGTGGTTTATAAATCTGTGTTTTATATCTTAAACCTGCTCACTTTTCCTAGGAATTTTTATGCAGATGAGAATATTCAGAACTGAGGCACAATTTGGACTTTCCATCTTTACCAAAGAGTTTGAAATTCAGAACAAAAGGCCTTGATTGACACTTGACAAAAATGACTGGTCCTCATTTAAATTTGTGATTGCCCCAAGAAGAGAGTGTAAATAGCAAGCAGCTGAGATCACAAGACTCTCGGCAATACCAATCCTAGGTCTGAAACAAATTATTTTTTTGCAGGGCTTCTAAGTGGGATACCCCTTAAAAAGAAAAGGGGTTTTTGAGAAGCCAGAAGTAAAGAGGGGGGGGGGGGGGGGGGGGGGGGGAAGGATGAGTTCTGAAGTTTATTTAGAAACTGCAAAGCCAGAAGTTCCTTTGCAGTCATACCTTTAAAATGCCTATAACTGGGGGTAATGAAGTACTCATTTGATCTTCATTCAAGTCAAGACCTCAGAGCTGACATACAGGATTCTTACAGAAATAAGACAGAGTACAGGAATGGTCCCTTTTTGTATTGTTAAAGAATAGCTTGAACCCTTTTTTAAAGTCTAGAACTTGTTTACACTTACCAGTTCTGTTCCAGGCTGTGAAATCTAAATTGTAATGCTGAATCCCCACCTGGAAACGGCAGTGCTCAACTTAACATCCTATGTATTTCAGGCTTGGAAAAAACTACTGCATAACATGGATGATGCTTACTAAGTTTCAGTGATTTTCCTTCCAACAACCTTTAAACCTACAGCAACAGCCTTCCATCATCAGCTATTACTCTGTCAATTTTACTAATGAACAACTAGTAATCACAAAAAGGGAACCACCACCCAGAAGATATGCCAACAGAAGGAACAGCTGTGACAGTTTGGGCAAGGGGGGTACACCACCCAAGTCAGTTAGGTAGCTCAGAATAGGTCAGATAACCTCAAAAACTGAGCACTGGAGAGAGCTTCCCCCAACCTACTCCCCCCTCTCTGGGGTGGCCATGGTGGGGAGAAAGAGCAGCAGTATCAGCCAGGACAAGTGCTGGCTCCCTCCCAGCTCCCATGTTCTGATCCCACTTCCCCAGGCTACCTCCTGAAGCTACTACTGTCTTCTTCTACCATGCTGGAGGCTGGAGGGCAAAGGCTTCAGCCTACAGCCAAACCATCCCACAAAACTAGTGCCACTAGATTCCATCTATCCCTCCTCTGGTATCACTTTAATTCCCCAGTACCGTACTACCCAGACACCATGCCAGGCCCCCTTTTCCCAAACATCTCTACCTCAGCTCTCTTACTCACAGCCTGGTAAGTGCCTGTCCCTTTTCTACTTTACCTTTTATTCCCCTCCTCTCCATATTTCCATAATTTCAACTATCAGCCCTCAATCTCTGTGATAGTGGACACAAAGACCTTTATCCCACTCATCTTACAGTTCCCCCTCATCTTACAGTTCCCCATAATCATGTACACAGATTTTTCCACAGATTCACATTCCTTTATTATTTCTTATTTTGAGCAATTTGTAAAATGTATCAGTGGTATACATACAATCCAATATTAGACACATAAGCTGAAGCTCATGATTTAAGATGCTAGTATCTTATGGCATCAATACCAAGGAGAAAGATTCTTCCCAAAGGCAACTTAGACCAGAGCTCTAAGTCTCATTCCAAAAAAAGGAACTCCTTCCATTTTTTGTATTAAAAAGCTAAGGAAAACATCCTTCTGACTTCATGAAAGCCTGAACTGTCCAAAATTATGCTCAAAATCCCTTGCTCCTGCTGATTTTATCTAAAGACTAATTTTTCCAACTAAGCAAGCACAGCCCAAAATAAACTTACAAATTCTTCAGAAAAACTTACTCGTATATCAAGTAGGTTCATTAAATGCCATGGAATTCTTCCATGAATTGCAAAGAGAAGCTATATGCCAGAGTGACATGGACAAAGAGACTACTAAATTCAGAACACTTACATAATTCATGCTGCATCAAGAAACTAAATCAATTATGGAAATTAATAGGGGGCAAAAAACTGAAGCTAAAAAGCAGATTTTGATAAAAGCTTCACAGAAAAAATAGCCTCAATGTTATCTGAGGAGATTCTATGCATTCGGAGTGAGAATAATTCCACTACAGACTCCAAATCAGTGAACAACTGGAACAAGTATGAATATCTAAAATCAGGCATGCAGCTAGGTTAAAAGGAAGTGTCAACTACAACCATGGCTTCTAGCAGATGTATTTCTGCATGTACCTTACTACTGTTTAAAAAAAATAAAGCAACAACAAAAATGCACAAAACTACATACAAAGTTTTGCTTGTATGTTTGGCTTGAGGTTGGTTGGTTGGTTTGTTTACAAGCCAATAAGATACTAAAAATATTATCAGGGATTTTAACACACATAGGTTAGGGAAAAGCCAGAATGAAGACTGTACTCAACTAAGTAAAACTGATGTGGCATAGGGAAATCATATACTAGTCTTTAAAAACTGCAGATTTTCCCTCACCTGAAGGACCTTCCAATGACTTTATGTATAAAGTCACCAGAACTTTCAACATCATCAATCTATCAAACAGAGTTTGATATATATTGAATCCAATTGCTGTTTGCCAACAGAACAAAAAAGAAAAATTCTGTTTGCAAGACAACTCTGAAGAAGCCTGGCAAAGTAATCTGCTTAGCATCAGGTAAAAACTTGTTGGGAATCCAAAAAGTGGATCCATTCCTTAGCACCACAGTATCAGCATCACCTTATTCTAAAGAAAATTTCCCAACTTCTGCAGACAAAAAAAAAAAAAAAAAAAAAGAAAAAAGACTGAGTTCCTGTAAAAGACAAACTTTCTACATAACCCTAACTAATTTTATTGTCACTTTCTTTTCCACTTATTGAAAAAGAAACCCAAAAGATGAAATTCAAGCAACTGAAAATTTAAGTCCCTTCTGCATGTTTGCATGCAGTTGTGAAAACAACAGTTCAGAGGTACTAAGCACAGAAACTACACATTTCTATACACAGTTTTTCTCTTTGGAGATTCATCAGCCTGTTTTCATCATGGGAAAAAAAGAAAGAAAACAAAACTAACGTTTCCTAAATATCTCCCCAGTATTATTCTGTAACAGAGCAACACTGTTATTAAAACATTTGAGAAAATTTCGCAGGGAGGTCAAAATTGTCCAAACCAGATGAAACAGGTGAAAGAGATTGTTGGGATGAAAGATATTAACTAATCTTGAGTACAGCTGGCTGATCAGACTTAACATTGAGCATCACTGCAGAAGTTTCCTATAGCAGAAGTGAAATATACAGACACAGCCTTTCCAGTGGGAGAGACACCATACTACAAAATTAGGTGTTTCACAAATGAACTGGAGGCAGCAGCTGCCTCTCAGGGATGAGAATTCTCCCTGGACCAACTCCTTCTCCCACGTGACCAACTATGATGACCTTCCTAAAATAAAGTTGGCACCATTAATGGTACTGGCTTTCAAAAAACCACATTCAACTTATCTAACTGGCATCCAAAAACTAAGATGGCAGTAACAAAAAGTGAAAGCATATCTGAAGAGCTTTAGTATTGAACAATACAGCTCCTATTGCAAAGAAAAAGTTACATACATAAGCATGTGCATATATGTGTGTATATACACACCCAACCCCTCATATTTGTCACTTTCACATGCAAGTTTATTCTAGTTATTTTCATAAACTTATTTCCATCACAACATTCACTGTCCCTTATTGCTATAGTCACTGGCCAAATTTCGAGTTTTTTTGTTTTGGTTTGGTTTTTTGTTTTGGGTTTGGTTGTTTTAGGGGGAGGGGGCAGGGAGGAAGGGGCGGGGTGGTTTTTTTTGTGGGGCACATGGACAGGCAAGTTGGTTGTTAGTTTGGTTTGTTTTACCACTAAGTCTAGTGAAGTCAACAGTGCCTTTGCCTCCTCACTGGTGGAAACTTAGAACATGCTTTAGACTACATTAACATAGCTTACATTCCTGAACTGCCTGTTACGTATTTTTTTTTATTTTTCATACGCATTAGTGCTTAAAATTCTACATCTTGAGTAAGCATTTAAGTCTGCAACATACATCTCAGGCAACGTGCCAATTTCCTAGTAATTCAAAGAAGCACTGAACTTCTCACAAAGTTGAATGCAATGTTAAATGATGATGCAATTCTACATTTCTGGGGCAAAAGAATGAAATGTTCAAAAGGAGCAGAATTTTAAATGAGCGTAATTTAAAGATTACTCAAGCACAAAACTTACCATCTCCAGCAGGCAGGCCTCGTTCTTTTTTCTCATCACATTTGTTGCATTCACTGAAGTACAGCAACAGAAACATATCCAGAAGGACCCAAACCAAAGAGGTGGCAAGGACCACCTTGCAATATGCAATTTTTTTCATGGCACTTTAAGTCAAATACAAAAATAAAAAAGTATAAATAAAAATATCAACAGGTTTCTTTAATCCAGTTTGAGAGACCACGTTCTATATCTGGAAAGCAAAAAAAAGAAAAAAGTCACAAAAATTTACCTAAGGACAGTAGCTAAAAGCACAAATTTTAACTACATTTTAAAGGCAACAATTTAATTACCAAATGTTATATGTATCAAAATGAATGTCCTATGCATTCTAATCAGTTTAAGGGAACACGGTCAATTAAAGCAACACTACTCTAGTCTTTCATGATTTTAATATCGTCACCTGAAATGTTAAAATGAGTGACCAAAACAGAGTGCCCTGCAAAGCCACTGGAGAAGAGGATAGGCACATGTAATGAAATTAAAAGGAACACTCTGGACCCTCTGGAAATAGGAGCAAGCTAAATAAATGAAAACCAGGAACATCTCAGGAAGCAAGGTATCAATCTGTGCTGCATGAACCCTGTGGCTAATATTCCTCGTGCTCCTGCCACGTAGCATGTGCTGACTTTCTGGGCCCATCACTAGGAATGCTAGTCTACAAATGCCTCTATTTTACATAAAGTCCAATGGTACATTACGCCTTCATCACAAAGATAAACGCTTTGCTTTCAGCAAACCAAAAATAAACATCCTTTTCAGTAAAGTTAAACAGTAAGCAAAGTGAAGAAAGTACACACAAGCCACTGTGGTCACTTACTAGGCATTCAAAGCTAAAGGTACAACTAATAATTTTGATGCTTAAAGTGATTTTAAGTTTAATGCTTGATTATAGAGCAGACTTTTATACATTTTTCAAAATGTATACATTAAAATTTTAGAATGCCAACCTTTGAAATTCTCTTTCATCCTACTCAAATTACAAGCAAATTTTGTTGAATCACAGAATCACAGAATGTTAG